TTGTTCTCTCCCACAGTACGTTGTTGCTGACAGTGTCTGGTTAACAGATCCAAAGTATTTTGCACAGACAACTGTTAATAAACACTTGTATCTTGTGGATGATGGCTTTCGTAGTTCGCCAGGTTTCCGCCCCATACAGTAGAACTGTCTTGACATTTGTGTTGAAAATCATGACCTTGGTGTTGGTTGGTAGTTGTATTGAGTTCCAGATGTTCTTCAGTTGTAAATATGCTGCTCTTGCAGTGGCGATCTGTGCCATCACATCTGCATCAGATCCACCGTGTTTATCAATGATGCTGCCCAAATATGTAAAGGTTTTTACATCTTCCAAAATCTTCTCCGTCAATTGTTATTGGATTGGTGCTTGCTGTGTTGTATCGGAGAATCTTGCTTTTCCCTTTGTGTATATTGAGACCTATTGCTGCTGAGGCTGCTGCTACACTGGTCATCTCCTGCATTTGTTGTTGAATTTGGGATAGAAGAGCCAGATCATCTGTGAGGTCTAGATCGTCCAACTGCATCCTAGATTTTCCCTGTATCCCGTGCTTCCCATCAGATGTTGACGTCTTCATGATCCAGTCGATCACCAGGAGGAAAAGAAAGGGTGAGAGTAAGCAACCTTGCCTGACATAGATCTTTACTTCAAACGAGTTTGTCAACTGTCCTACATGAAGTCCGACTTAATGTTATCTAATATATTAGTTAAAACTATATATAGTCCAAGAATATACTCTTTTTTTTAATTTTACTTTAGACAATTTCTCAATTGATCATTTCTACTTCATTCAAATACTTGAATTAGATAATTAAAAAAAAGAAATAAAATCTCTAGTAAGATCATAATTATTATTTCCTGGGATAACTTTGATAAGAGCTATATTTACTCTTAACTAATAATCTATTGTCACGCTACATTGATTTATTTTATTCTAATTAAATGAAATATTTTATCAAAACTAACAATGGTATTATTCTTTTTTTAACTGAATTAATCTTACTTCCAAGCAAAGATGGATAGTGGCAAGCAGTGGAATCCAGGACGTGCGTTTCGTTCTATTTGGGACTCGTCAGCTGGATGTACCTGCATCTCAGACTTGATGTTCACACTGGGACTGGAACCCAGTACCATTCGCTTCAAACGCCGTCGCGTTATTCACTCAGCTACAGACTGATCAATTGTAGTCTTAAACCTCAATGGGAAGATACAAGCAAAAATACCAGGTGAATAATCTTATATCCTTTTCGTTTTTTTTCTAATGTGGCTCGAGATCTGACTACAATTAGATGGCATGAATGTTTTCTGTTGTCAATCGTTGTATATCATGATTGACTTAGATCGCATTACTGACTAATATAATTCAATAAGTCAAATATGAGAACAGATTTTAGAATACATCTATATTGTACAGTTATTGATCGGAACAGATAATCAGAGCGACGAAGAAAAGAGAGCGAAACAAGATGGAGTACAGTAGAGAAGTTGTATGAACCAACTCGATTTAATCAATATTTATAGTCACACAAAAATAAGCTACAGACATGTGATGAGTAAGATAGGATGTATACACCGAGATGTTCATATAAAAAGTCGCACTTGATAAGTGAATAATAATAGCAACTTCATGATGTAGCCTGAGAAGAATGGATAAACTGTCTTGTTCGGAAGCTAGAATAACTTATGTGAGCTCGGCTTAAAACCAGCCACTACACTTTTTTTATAGTATATAATTTTGTTGTTTATTTGATCGAAAAATGATGTATTTCATTGTGTTGCAAAATGAAAATTATGTATTCAAAATAATAGAGGTTTATAGAGATCAAGTGGAGGTTTTCTGTAGTGTTATGGTAGTGCTATGTTAGACTCACATAGCCTACTCTAGCTTCCGAACAGGCTAAATTATTTATTCGGCAAGACTATAATTTATGAACGAACCAATCTGATTTAGAATAACAGGTCTCGGATTTTGGTGCGAAATTTGTTCACCCATTTGTCGAAATACAGTCTTGGCATTTTGGTGTTTTTAATGATTTACTTGTCAATCTTTATATGTTAAATAAGAAAGATTAGTTCAGTGAAGAGTTCTCTTTTCGGTGAATTTATTTTTAACGATTAATTGTTTCAACTGGTAAGTAACCTAATTAATGAGCTTTCAGTCGACAGCCTCCAACAAAATGACAAACGACTATGTTCACAGAGAAAAATGGAAACAGCTAATATAATAATGAATTACATTTTAACGAAAATTCATAGCTTAATAAAAAGAAGTTGTATCTGACCACTACTAAGGAACTAGTCTCGGATAGTTACTGTCTTTTTATACAATTGGAATGGCATCCCAGATTGAAATGAAAAATGAATAGTGGAATCCATATTAACAATTTGATAAGTGATATAAATTGTTGCAGTGCACGGATGTACAAACAATTTGTTACATAATCATAATTAAAGTGTTGGAAATTTCATTTTTCGAAAAAAAACTGAAAGAGTACTTCAACTTGGAAGCCTTGAGAAAAATGCCCAATTGTCAAAAATCAAATATATAATCTATACCCGACCGTTGTTACTACCTTGATTAGGTGGTCGGGCTTGCCTATCGTGATGAAGCAACCGAGCTATGCTGTCTGGAACAACATCCTACCATGTCAGACGGGTCGGTTGAAGAGCGGTAACACTAAAAGCAACAAACACGCACTGCTGACTGTACAGAGGTGTGACGGCAGTAAGGTGTTTCCTTCAGACAACCAGCATAGCAGCGATGCTGCCTTCCCACAAGAACGGGTGGGGTAAGAAAAGGTCTACCCTAAAAATGCACATCTCACCTTATCCTACGGATATCCGTCTCTGGCGGTAAGGTCTCAACAAGTGCAGAGCTAGCACAAAAATTACTCATAAAAAGGTCATGTGTGACCAACCTCAAGCAGTCGTCCCTTGGGCACTGCGGTCACGCTCTCAGGTCAGTAAGACCACCCCTAATCCAATTTCCTTTTCAGGTACCTCTAGAAGAATCCTTTCACGGTTTGAACAACCGGGAAGCGATAACCGCCTGCATGCGTCTAACAGCACTCAAGATGTAATCTATATTATTTTAGAATAAACCTTAATAACAGAAAATAAGAAAACAAACATTGATAGCTAAACAAGTGTAGATATCAGTTATTTATAAATTTCAGAAAATTCAATTAGAATTATTCCAATGAGACAATAAAGATGATTAAATCTATGGAGACGGTTGGAAGAAAGTTAGGAGTGGCCAAACCAAAACGTGGCATCAGTGCTTGAACTCACTAACTTCTAGTCTGAGCCATGTTTGTAGATGCAGATTACTTGGTTGGGGTCCGCGTGACTATCGTAACCAATGGTTGGAGACTCTTGGTGACAAGGCCCAGAATCGATCACAATGTCGTCGGTGTATACACTCTCTGTCTTCCCTTAAACTAAGAGATTAAAATCGCTTCATATCCTTATTCTATGAACTAATTCTTTCTTGCTGTACTATATCCTTATTGCGATCTTTCTTTTATATATTACCACCTCTGAATTAACTACTTTTATGAATCCGGTGTTCATCTTGTTGTGTCAATAAGGTATGGCAACTTGGACCGATGCATATATGTGCCTAGACCTACGTTGTAGCTGATTGACTAACTGAGTCTATGGAATTAGGATATATGTAATTCTCTACGAATTTCTTTTTTTGGCAAGTATTTGTAACTTATATTACGAGTACTTTTATAGCTGCATTGTGAAAAAACTGTTTAAAATAAAATAACTCATTGTTTTATAGAAAGGAATTTTGAGAACATATATTTACATACATATAATAAGCATTAAATCCTCGGCGAGACTACAATTACTAGACGAACCAATCAGATTTAGGATAACAAGTTTTGGATTTCGGTGCGAGATCCATCCATTTGTTCGACTATAAACATTGATACATACTTGGTTAAATCGAGTTGGTTCACTCACATTCTCCATCACGCGTCATTTCATTTTGCTTCGGTTTCCGATTAACGATTGTATGAAATATGCGTATACATTCTCGTATTTAACTTATTTAATTCGGTTATTCACTAACACCAAGTAGGTCGATAAATGTATGTGAATATTGGCGACATGTATATTTTGATAACAATCATTCATACGATCCAAATGAATTCAGATACCAGGACCACTCAACATCAGCTGAAGTGACATGAATTTGAAGGATAGATGGGATGTGGCTAGCAGTACAATTCGTATTTGGAGCTTGTTAATTGAATGTACCCTCATTTCGGAGTTGATATTTACCTAGTGGTTCAAACTCAGAACATCCCAAACCAAACGCCATTTTATTGTACAAAGGCTTATGACATAATGGTTATATCAAGGCAACCCACACAGGAACCACATATCCCAACTAAGATCGATCAAAATTCAATCAAAAATAGTAACAACGAGACAATGCAAAAAAAAAATTGAATTATGAATTTGTAGGTTGCATTCGCAGAAGATTGATCTTCGCTGGGTATTATTGACAACCAGGAACATCTGTTTCGACCTATTATGGGATTATTTAGAAGTAGGCACCCACAATTTCATCATGAGTTGAAATCACGACCTTACGGTTTCATCAATAAAAGCACTCGGTCAGCTGTCAATAGTACACTATCAATTTCAATTGATTTGTAATACAGTAATAACGACCATCTAATATTATCGATGATAACAATTTAACTACATTGGCATATCTGAACTGTATCATATACAAATTCTCACAATAAAACGTCAAGAATATCAAGGATTAATTATTATCAAAACTTTGTTTAGAATCATACGACTATTTATAATTTTAAGTTATTTGAAAATGATAAGAGAAAGTGTTATAACTTGTGACCGCCGATTAGAGAGCAGTGACTTATCGATCGGATGAAGGACGCGTAAACCCGAATAAGCAGCCTAGGGTCCTGATTGACCCTGCTTTCCGCCTAGCCCAGCCAGTTAAGTCCTGAACATCAATCCGAGCCTCTGCGATATGAATCATCATATTTCAAACACATTGAGTTTATATACCAATCAAACCGATAACAACGTACCATAAAATAGGAAATAACATTTGTACAAAATTTGGCCAAATGTGGCTGTGAATGCGGGAGGCAGTAACTAGTAGACAAACGTATAATAATGGTTAATAGGTCAAAATAAAGCTCATAATAAGAGGAACATGAATATGAACGGTTTAGTCACATGACAATCATATGATAAGAATATACTCATAGTATTAATCCACCAATAGATGCCAAAAGCTACCATTCATTATGTTTATCTGGACCTAACAGAAAGCTTTGAAATAGGACAGTGAATTTATTTCAATCAAAAAATCTTATTGTAATTTCAATAATTGAAATCATGAGTCAATTGAAGCTAGACTAATATGAAAAATGTGGAAGCACTGGACGATCATTTCGTCCTATTGTGGGACTACTACTCAGTAGTGCACATCCACAATTTCGAATTGCAAGATTCGAACCTATTGTGATGCGTGCTACTTATATTGATATAAGTAGTATGTGACGCGAGTCAGAAATGTAATGTCTGGCAGCAGAAGATGGGAGAAGATCAAGAAAGCAAGAGCTTGAATAGAATGTAATTTGTATGAAAATGCAGGGACAATGAAGTCTGAAGCATTTTGAAACAATTGGTGGACATATTGCAAATTAACGATTTAATATATATGGTTCACAGATTTTATTGAGATGCTCTGTAATTTTGTGTTAAATACATTCGATTGTCTCCACCCGTGTTTTTGTTCACTACACTATGACCTATTAGTCTCTCACTATCCAATGCTTCCAGATGTTTCCACATTCATCTAGCTTCAACTGACTCATGATTTCAACTATTTGAAATTATTATAATATCAAGGAAATCTGATGTACTAGAAGGAAAAATATATTGGATTTGTTTGAAGTAAATAGAATGATCATTTAAATGAATGAATGAACAAAATTAATTTCTAAAATCCATTGACAATTTATTCCATCATCATTTTCTTTGACTGATTCAATCCTACTTAGAAAAACCTTTAGACTTTATTGTATTATCTTTATTTATCTTTTGTAAATTTAATGATGAATTTGAATTCAGTGAATGATTTACAGTTTTAGTGATCAAACAATTTTTAGATAGATTATTTACTAATTTCAAAGGATCTTGATTCTTATTCATTGAAATAGGTTTGTTATTTATTTTTGAAGAAGAAAATGGATTCATTGAAGTTTTAATATGTTTTGTATTGTTTTGTGGTAATGTCAATGATGATGACGATGATGTTGATGATGATGTAGAACATTGAACAGATTTTCTATTGGTTGATTTTAATTGTTGGGATGTGGAAGAAAACTTTTTAGATTGTACTTTTATAGAATTGATCACTAGAATAGATAAGATAGTCAATAATTAACAAGTAACAAAATTGATACAATTTAACTTAGAATTTAATAATTAATATAGTACTTTCACAGATTGAAATCATGAGTCAATTAAAGCTAGACCACCATGAAAAACCTGGAAGCACTGAACGGGATCGTGGATGCGCACTGTTGAGGAGTCCCATACTAGGACGAAACGGCCGTCCAGTGCTTCCGGCTTTTCCATGGTGGTCTAGCTTTAATTGACTCGTGATTTCAATCAGTGAAATCAAAAGTTGTAAATATTTGATGGCAGAGGACTTAAAAGCATTATTCACGCTTGGTTTAAAAACCAGATAATTAATGCTGATGTTAGATTATTACTGGAAAAACTGATTGACTAAGATGCTGAAATATGTTATGCATGCCCAGCTCCTGCCTACCACGACATTTGATGCTGATTGACATGTAGTGAACGAAAACTTAGTGGGATGACCGATTTGTTGTTTAATGAATAGACTGTTCACCAGCATTCTCCATCCAACTTTATATTGGGCAATCCTTCCCATTCCATATTCATCCTTCTTGACGTAGTGTATCCTTCGGTCTTCCTCTTTTCCGTGTCCCTTCAGGATTCCAGGCAAGCGCTTTTCCCAATTTTCACCTTAGATAGAACTTAGTTTGAACGTCTACCGAATCTTTCATCCGGTTCAGTAACAATCTGTTGAAACCTTTTGCTGGTACCGATAGTAATGTGATTGCCCTGTGATTTAGTAAAATGTGAAAACTATACATTTAGAACATCATTTGCACTTCTTTGAATTGTTTCTGACAAACTCGATTGTTCCTTCAATCCTGCTGTCATCTTGATTGCTTTTAGTTTTCTTCTCTCTTCACTTCACTTTAGTCTTTTCAATCTTCTGATCGCAGGCTTCCTACTTCCAATTGATGCTAATATACTGCTTATATGTGTCAACACAAGTAGCATACACCACAGGCATAGGAGAGGATCAAATAAAGCTAAGGGCGACCATATGAAGATATAGAATTTATAGAGAAACCATAACATGTTGAAGTGAGTCCCGTCGATTATGATATGCTGAATAATCATATTGTACATTCAGAGAACTTGCCGTAACTGTATTCATTCTCTTATCTACCAAATTCTGAGTTTTGTGCTGTTCCGTTCTCACTATAGACTATATTATTTCGTAAATTATTCATCATGTTTAGTTTGCCAAAAGATTTGAAATGATTTATTCTAATGTTAGGTGATTAGAGGTATTCAGTAAGGGGTACCTGCAATCTTCAGGAAATCGACTATCACAGTGAAATTCAAGTTTACCTAACCTAGCTTTACATTCTGAGACGGTACCAGTGCGCTGTTCAAGTCGCTATTAAGCTCTTGTAGGACTGAGATAGTTTCAATTGATTGATTACAGGTGGTCGCGTTCGATCGACAAAATTTGGGCATTACTAATGGACTTGATAAACGCGACAGTGGTGATCAGTCAATTGTAAATTATTGCTTCTCCTCTGTCACTCATCTTTGTTAATTTATCTCGGGCTACCGTGCCAATATGAGGCATGGCAACTTGAATCCTGTGTTCATTTGATCGCTGAGTTTTGTATTTAAAGTTTTCGTATACAAATTACAAAAATACATATTTCTACTTCATTTTAGAAATAAACAGCTGCTACCGGTACTATGAATATAATTCCAGAAAGGGGTCGTTAGATTAATCAGTTACACGCTTCTACAACATATAACGAAAAAAAACGGAATGGCAATAACATTAAAGAAGGAAAAGGAAAAGAACATATAGACAGATAATGAAAGTCATCGGTAAAGTTATAGGTAAAAATTGAGTCAATCACTATAATGTTAACGGTTAGAAACATTAAAGTTTACATCAAGAACTGATTTTGTTGAAACAACCGTTAAAAACCAGGAAGCACTTGACAGCTGTTTTTTCCTAGTATAGGACTCAACCTCAGTATTGAAACCCACAAGGGAACAGACCAAGCACTGTCAGGATTTACGGAAAGAGCCTAACTTTTAGATCACTGAGGAGACAACCAGTGATTCACATGTCTAACTTCACTTAATTTGCGATGCTGTATACCCATCATCTAATCCTGTCAATGATACTTTTCTTATGTTCGGCAAGGTTGAATCCCACTGGTTAAGTGACGTAAAATAAGAAACTTAACAATCTCAACAAACACCTAAATAATATTGAATAAAGTCATTAATAATAATGGTAATAATAATGATAATAGTAATAATAATAATAATAATAATAATAATAATAATAATAATAATAATAATAATAATAATAATAATAATAATAAAATTCGATACATTTTACACAGATTCATTGATGTAAATTTCCCGAAACTTGGAAAATCCCGAGAAAAAAACCCATGATTTTCTTTGTCAGGTGCTGAAATCATGGATTATTGACAAAGCCTAAGCTTACACAACCTCAAACTGCATAATTTTGGGTCAAGCTAATGTTTATCAATGTAAGCATGACGCTATATACTACTTGATAAACATGAGTAGTTAAAACTAATAGTAGCAAGTTTTAAAAAGGAAGTTATAATAAGTCAGTCATTTGACGACGCCGGGAACTCGTGGAAATCAGTTTACCTTAAAGTGTAGTAAAGTCAAGAATAGCTGTGTTGTATTAGTATATGTTTTTCCATCTTGAACCTTTAGAAGGAACCTTAATTGTCATCAGTAGCAGGAGACCTCGATAGACAGGTTTTATTGGGAACCAATGGGAATCCTGCTGTAAACAGCATGATCGCATTTAGACTAAAAAAACTAACTTTGTTGTCTTTTACTTACACGGGATTTCTACTGACTCTTAATTTTTTATTTCCAAGGATTTCTTCTCTCCTATTCCTCTACAATATTGCTATTTCTCTTCATTCAGTGCGTTGCTGGTACAACTGTGTCAAGTACGTCATGTCATAAGTAGAATAATTAATTTATTTTTGATACACCTAACTTGAATAGTAATTTATACGTTAAATGACGATAACTACAGAACTGATGACATATTCAAGGAGCACTATTTCATCCATGCATAGAATTGATTACTGAAACATGTGAGTCGGTTCAAGTTTCTATGCCATATCAGCACATTAAGATGAAATTTTTAAGCCAAAAACCAAAGTTGACGAAGTAGTAAGACTGTCAACGGTGGTAGAAAAGACTAGGAATATGTAGTATGATTCGATAAAAAAGCAAAAATCTGTAAAACAAAAAGAATAAGGTCATTTTAAAACTCAAGATCTAAGGGGAGGGAAAAAGTGTACGAATCAGTGCCATTACCACCAATTCTGAGCCATGTCACCCCAACTGGGTAATGAACACCTATCCTCATGGATCATTCTAACAGCCTACAAATTCATGGGTCGATATCATGTCCTAATTTGTCCACCCCCAGCTTTATTCCAACATATAACTAATCGTTTGGGTATGCAGTGATTACGGACATGTAATATGTACCACAATTACCTCAATTAATGAAGATTCATTGTTGCACTAACCGTTCATTCCCAATGATTCTTTTAAATGGTGTTAGTTTTCAATTAAATGTACTTGCAAATCATAGTTAGTGTTTTAAATAGACATAAATATTTTTAATGGACGGAAACAAATACATCAGTACAGTCGTTTAACCACTTTATTTATTTTATTTATTTAGACACATAGATATTGGTACAAGTAGCGCCAGATATATATGTGCTACACAAATCTCATTTGATTTGTGTGAGGGCTGTGATACTGCTCGGGTGCCCAAACCGAAGCAGGTGGTTTTCTCAGGAGGCTACACACTGAACATTCGACCTAAAGATTTGATCCATAATGCAGTGGAGTAACGTCACAAGATTCAATCCCATGATAGCCGGTCATCAACGATTGGTTCATACGCCATTTTTTCCTTCAGGATCCTGGGGCCCATGTGCCTTTTGTCCTCTCAATTTCGTAAAAAACAACACTGGTGCGAGAAAACAGTGAGTAGAACTTCCGTGGGAATGGCTGTATACACGTGGCCATGTGAGCGCATTTCGACAGGGAAAGTGGACTCTCTCCACTCTTAGTCGTACCAGGGCATTCGAGGGCCGTTTAACCACTTACGTATATCACCAGTAACACGTGGTCTATCCACATAATATATATATATATGCTGTAGTCGTTATTAATTTCTTTTTCTACTATGTTCAAACACAATGTAACATTAATTTTTAAGCATAACTAACAGTTTTGTCAAATACTAAAATTTATGATAAAAGGAAACCTAGTTCAAAAAAACTAACGTAAAAATCAATGCGTACAATTAAGCGGTTCAGTAATGTTTAAATATATATTACCTACTGATGGTCACTATGGTGACTTAAATAAACATTGCATAATCGATATATAGGTTTACACAGAATTATGTAATTCTAATTTTATTAACTTTCACAATCTAAGGTCATGAAGGATTGATAAATGTTTTCTTAAATCAGATCCATGTACACATACATAAATATCTTAGCACAAATTCTTCACATTTCACACTAAACGAAATATGCCTATAATAAGACAAACTTCACATACAACATTGTTGACATGACTGAAAGGCTTTTCAGTACGCAGTTAATTTGTGAACCTATTAGGGATGCGTAATTTTCGTTACATTAACTTAGTGTGAATCCTGGTCATAGACTTTTGATGAACTTTCACCACGATTTGAGCTTATTGACAATTATTTAGTACCTAAACCCCAATTTTGAATTCTACTGAGTTATGATCAGATCAATAAAACTTCTATACAACAACACGTTTTAGTTGAGAGTCGCAAAATAGTAGATTAGTATATGAACATATAAGAACTATATATTTATATTAAAGGGTTTTGACATTTGGTTATTAGTTTGAAGAAGATTGAAAAAAAACTGAATTTTAATCACTGGAATCGTTAGAAATATTCGGAGCGCAACTATTGTAAAACTAGTCGTTCAAATTTGGATGAAAGTACTTGTAATGTAAGGAAGTATATATATATATATATATATATATATATATATATATATATATATATATCACATTGTTTTGTTGTGTTAAATTGCAAATATTTTAAAAATCAACTAGAACAACCACTAACTTGATGGGTTAGTACAGGATCCGGCTGCTTGTGAAGTGTTACAAGAGTTCGGTGTTCTTTCTGTATTTATAGTTACTTGATTACATACATCGTTGGGTTTATTCGTCTGTTCTTCTGTTGCCAACATCAATGAATCATTTTCAAGTAAACACAAAACCTATAATAACCATTCATAACAATTTATTTATTTATTACCAGTAAAAATACAGTATCATGAAGTTATAACACTGAAGTAAACTATGATCGATGTAACCTACTTCACAAGTATGGATTTGTTTACTCTGGTATGAATCACACTAGAGTAATGAAAAAAGTAGTGCTAACCAGATGTCTAAGGCAAAATCGTTAGACAGAGGTTCAAACCTGTGATTCAGTGATGAAATTTCGAACATCATAAGCCCCTATTCTCCCAAAAAGAAAGAGGAATGTTAATAATATTTGAGTTTTACTACGCATCTTTATTCGATCAATGCCAATATTCATTTCTGAATGTAAACTACGAATGTAATTATTCATCAGAGTAAACACTAAAACAAAGATTAGAACAAATATATCCCCATAACTTAAAAGTGACTCTTATCATAAAGTGTTATGATCTGGAGAACTAAGTAACTGTTTCATCATAGTTTCAGGACTGCTTAACACTGTAATTTATGGAAGTACAGACTGAAATTTTGTGGTGAGGATGAGACCACTAGGGCACTAAATTCGAATTGGATTGTTAACATTCTTTATTTTAGTCTGCTTACCAGAATATGGTTATCTCAGGCCTTGAAAACTCAGTACAACATAGATTAGCAATTAGGAAATTTATAAACTAGTTTTATATAGTCTTTTGGAGACTATTCGACGTTTTATAACATACTGATGTGATACGTTACTTGGCATGAACAAGTGTTGACCGAGTTTAATATGCACTTAACCATGTTGTTGGTATGATGGAAACTCATTCATAGCATTCAATGAAAATGGCTATATATCATATAATGGTACGTAAATGACACTAAGTGGGTTTTCGTGCAACGACAGTATGCTTTACAGCCTTCATTTTAATGTTCGTACACTTTTATTACTACAGCATTGTTTGTTTACCTTAAAATTTTCTTAAATTTAGTTGCTCAAAACTATATGTGTTTTTACCAAAACCACTCGATTTTTTTTCTCATTTTCTTTTACTTGGAGAATTAGAAACGCGCTGACTTAGATTAACATATATTTTTGCCATAGATCAAGTTGTTTAACCCTATCTTTAATCTGTATGAACCTATCATAAACAACAAAAAATAACACATATTTCACAGTAATTCACAGAAAAAACTTCAAGTATACTCAAACTTCAACTAACAATTGTAAAACAATTTGCATGGAAACAAAAGACATACTTGATGTTCATGAATCATATCTAATGAATAACAGGAATGACAAAATTCACATGGTATCACCGAATTCGACTCCCATTCATCCCTAAAACAAGAAAAGCGAATAAGATTTCGGTAAATCAGTAACATGTAACAAGATCCAAAATAAAGGAAATCTTAGAAGTATGACGTAAATGTAAGACTCTACCAGTTTATTGACTACATTTGCACTGACTGTTAAAGCGAGTCATATAGGTGGATGCAGATCACTTAGTTGTGGCCCGGTGACATAGCTCGAACTTTTTGGTAATGGAAGAGGTGAATTCACAGTTTACATTCCCTTAAATCCTAAGTTTCATAATTACCTAAGTTACTTTCTTTTTTATTCCGCTGGTCTATATTCACCTCTCGGATCGTAGCTTCGGCGCCTAATCTTTTTTATTACCCATAATACAGTTACTGTTTCTACCACTGCTTGGTATTAACCGTGACAATCTTATCTCAATATGTTAATGGGCCGTGGCAACTTGGACTAATGTAAACGTGTGCCAGTTCTTACGCTGCACATTGCTGACTGAACCTCCCGCTGAGGACCAACAAGATTTGGTTCGAGTACCAGTAATCATATAAACACTGTGAAGCATGTACACCCAGTCGACGAGTCCCAGACGGCAAAAGGAGCAACCCGCGCTCTACATTTAGCCACAATCCATAAATTCTAGTTTGAATTCTGAAAATGACACTTCTGACGTCATCCCACTAATAAAACGAGGTAGAATACATATTTGCAACCGTATATTACTAACTTGTTCATCCAATCCTTTATAATCAGTAGCAAGATATAGCCATCAAACATAAATGATACCATCCCTTTTACCATGAAAGGACTCATGCTTGTATTAATTCAGATAACCGTGGCTCCAGATTGCAGTTTGCAAAAAAGACAGTAAAAGGTCAATAAGCTAATCGAGGCGCTTTCACTATACTCATGTAGTGACATTACGGCTGTACTAATGAACTAATTTTTTGAATAACCAATAACTCAAAACACTAATTCGGCAGATAAAAAATGTCAAACTTACACGACATTTTCATTTGACGATCTCTCAACAGTTGTTTTGTGATGTGAGGTGTCAGTCTGACTTCCTATATGTTTTTGGAGTGTTGCAGAATAAACATTTTGAATGTAATCTTCATATTGCAAATTCAACGCCACACAGAAGTCTTTATCGAGATCCTGAAATTGAAGTACTAGATTTAAAGCATACATACATTTTGTAAGTTTGTACGACACTCTAAAACTTCTTATTAGTCTATAATTCGCAAATACCTATGGGTTTCTTACACCGATGAGTTTGACGGCTTTTAAGCATCACAAAGTTCCCACAATCTGAGCAACGTTCTGTCCTAGCACCACATTTGTACTCGTGATCTTCTAATAGGTCTATGGTCACGCCCAAGTTACAAAAAGTGCATTCCACCAGTCGTCTTGGGCATATGAACTAATATGAATAAGTTATTATTCAAACACGTACTTCATGTTCTAAAACACTAGACTCTTGAAATAAAGAGTCACAATATGTACACTTAATTTGACTATGCTTATCCAGTTGATGCTCCAATAACTTTGTTTTCAGAAGGCTGACACCACATTCTGGGCATATTGCCACATTTCGACAGCAAAATGCCTCGTGTATATCGAAATTCAATTCTATTATATTTTCCTTGCTAACAAGTAGTAATAATAATGTTAACGTTACCAATTAACACATCTTCTATACAGTATCGGTGTTGTCATGACTCATAAGAACCTTGAAATGCGCAGTGATTGTTGACCAAGGCAATCACAAATTCAATGTCTTCAGTTTCAGTTTCAGTCTGGGGGGACAGCAGGCTTGATGGCCTATGTTAGTCCTGGCATTGGTGATCACTCAGTTGATCCAACTTTCTTTTGAAAGAGTCGACGGATGGAGCCTCAACCACGTGCTGAGGTAGTGAATTCCACTCGTTGATGATTCGATGGGAAAGTCGATAGTCAGCTAACAAGTAATTTGTTCTCGGCTTGTGAACTTTTTTGGAGTGTCCTCGTAAATTCTCTGTTTTGGAAGACAAGAAAAATGAGGGCATGTTACATGCGAATTTATCACTAAGCAATTTGTAGACTGTAATCAAGTCGCCTCTAGTTCTGCCATTTGACAACGGGTATAGGTTCGGCTTGGCCAGTCGAGCTTCATACGGAAGCTTCGCTATTCCGGGAATCAGCTTAGTCGCCGTTCTCTGAACCTTTTCCAGAAGCTCACTGTCTTTTTTAAGCAGGGGCTAGCCGCTTGTATGCAGTACTCAAGTTTAGGACGTACGAACACTGTATACAAAGTCAAAAACGTTTTAGCGTCGACTTGACTAAGAGCTCTACGTATTGACCATAAGGTTCGAAAGCCTTTGGTGTTATTGCACGGCAGTGTGCAGTAGTCTTTAAGTCTTGACTAACGATAACTCCTAAATCATTATATGTCTGGACGACAGGTAGCTCAGTGTTATTCATCGTGTATGTACCTGTGCTTTGATGACCGATATGCATCACAACACACTTGGAAGTATTTATCGGCAACTGCTAGGTTTGAGACAATTCAGATAATTCCTTCATGTCATTTTGGAGTTCTAAGCTATCACTCTTACATCGTATCGTTCTCCATATCTTGACATCGTCAGCATATAGCAAGACCGATGATGATAAGAGACAAGGAAGGTCATTTACATACAAGAGGAATAGCACTGGCCCCAAAACTGTACCCTGGAGCACTCCACTAAGCACAGTTTTCCAGCTACATAACTTTGAGTTCACCCGAACTCTTTGTTGACGCCCAACTAAGAAGTCTTTTAACCACATCAATAAATTGCTTCCAATCATGACATTTCTTAACTTATATAACAGCCGGTTGTGCGGAACTTTATCAAAAGCTTTACTGAAATCAATGAAGGCGACGTCTACAGGTAGCTTTTGGTCCTTAAGAGCGCACCAGATTTCACGAGCCACTAATAAGTTAGTGAAACAAGAATAACCTATTCTGAAGCCGTGCTGCTTCTCCGAGAGGATCCGATTTTTATCGAGATACTTAAACATCTCCTTTCGAATAATCTTTTCTAAAATTTTAACAACCACACTAGTTAGGCTAACGGGGCGGTAGTTTTCAGGTTTGTGTTTCATACCTGAAATGAAGACAGGACTTACTGTTGCGTTTTTCCAGTGTTTTGGTAAACGACTTTGCGTAACGGATAGGTTAAAGCATGTACTTAAAGGGCTTGCAACGAAGTTAGATAATTCCTTCAGTAACCTAGGATGTAATTCATCAGGCTTCGTGGATTTGCCTATGTCAAGCTTATTTAGTAGACCAAAGACATCGAGTTTTTTAATGGTCAAGCTATCCAATGTATGTGTGGGGATCCGTATACGCTGATGGGAATGGCGCTTCTATGGTATATACGTTGCTAGTTTCAAAGTTTTTCTAAGGAGGATAGAAAGAAATTGCTTGTTCCTTCAGTTCGACGTCCGTGTTGTGAACAAGTCTTATTGATTATGGATAAGTGTTTTTCTTGTTTGAAGTTCTCGGAAGCTGTAGGCATAAACTTAAAGTAATAACTGAATTAATTGAATGAGAAACCTCAAAAGAACCGATATAATCAACTCCTCTGAACCCCTGTTTCCCTCAGCTTCGTAATGTTAAAGACGTTCACATCCATCTCATTACTTTCGAAGACTAACGAAACAATGAAGTCACCAAATAATACAACGATGAAAGCGATATGGATATCAACCTGTGTGGTATCATAGGTGCCTCTTCTATTTCACTGAGAAATCTTTGACGGTTTTTTTAGAAAACACATCTTGTATTGTAAAGCAAATTGCTTCGTCTCGCTCTTTTTTACCACTAGCTCTGAAACGAATATAACTGAACCAAAATCGTGGTTAATTTCCTCAAGTGGTTCAGAATGTTTCGAATTGATGTGGGGGAAATCGAGAAGGCATTTGACCTAGGAGGTGCTGTTTTTAGTAAAAAAGAGCGAGTAATTAACACACGTATACCCAAATACAAAAACAGTCAGGGTTAAAGAGCGAATGATTGATAAGGTCAAATTGGGGCTTGAGGATAAGCAATATATTGGCTACAATAACTGATTTGATCTTGACATAGTACCAGCAACTACAAAAACCCCCTGTAGAAAATAATACATTTACTTGAAAAGGACATTCAATTTCGAAAGCAACACAGAATAGTTATGTGGTTAACGTTAACAATAAGAAGCGAAAAAATTTTAATATATCAAATAGAGTGTATGTCACGTGAGGAGCGAGTATATTATACAAAAGTGTCATACTTATGTTAAAAGGTATATTAATATCGTACAGGCGCGGACAAAAAGGGAATCGTTGTCATGAGATTATGAGCAAGTTAATAAGAGTACAGAAAGATAACATGCATTTATGTCGTGACTCTCTGGACGATAAAATAACATATTCGTATGAGCGACTCGAAATACTGTGGAAACGGTCTAACATGTCGTTTATCGTATATAAGTCTGCCAGAGGAATAAATCACAAGGACAAGTAGTGTAGAATATTGACGAAAATGATCTAAGGTGCCGACAGAACATAAAATTAACGAGAAGAGAAATATGAACATGTTCTAATAAGCCGCAGTAGGGTAAATGGCAGCGTTTAGTGGATGATGAATTTGAATTTACGTACATTAAGTTTCTGTTTGTCATTTAAAAATATAATATGTTGAAACGTCATAAGTGTTAATGAAATTGTTTGGGTTGATCTATGTATGGTGTTCGTGAATCGGACAGCTTCTAAATAACTCACGATTTCAGGTTCATCTTTCATAATTTTTTGTATGCTAGTCGGTATTTCTGCGAAGCAAAGGTTTCCTGAGAAAGAAAAGTCACCCAATAGTCATACATCATCAAAGACTGTCATTTTTCATTAATCGCATTGGAAAAAATGTGAGATATGTCACTACACATAGTATATATATAGTTTTTAATTTTATAGGCACCAGCACTTCATACCAACCTCACACTCCCTGTCGAAACATACAGGACTACTGTAATTGAGTGGCAAGAACAACGACATCAAACACTAATGTAGTTGCAGAATTAACTGTCAATTTTCGGACGTCAGTGTGGGTAGCGTATGTATTCATGAGTTTGTAGTGCTTTGGTTTTCAAACAAGCAATCTGTGGACGCAACCATTTATCCGATCATATAGTGGATAAATGCGTCATGTGAGAGCATTAAGTTAATTGTGAACTTCATCCCAAGTTCCAACGTTCACCTTCTCAACTCGGGACGTGAAAACGTCACAAATAAGCGGTTCTAACTGACGTTACATCCTGAAACTTCTTATAATATGAAGACCACAAAGCTGATCAAGCCAGGGGTCGAGATTAAGGGAATTTAGCGGTATGTGTAGAATTATAGTCTACTGTAGTGGCATTGGACCATTACCACACTATCCTCAAAGCTGAATACGAGATTACTCGGAAAATAGGTATTCAATATTTAACGCGAAGAAATACCTAACGATGGAGAAGGCGCGAATAATGAATTGAATAGACTAGAGTTGATCGAACGGCATGGCTCGGCCATGCAGGCGTGGTCTCTGCTGAATGTTACCTTATATCTTCTTTTCATATTAAATATATTGTTCTTTCTCTAGCCTAACCTTGTTCTACATCATGTATTGGTGATTAATACGATACAGTGAGTTGGTGTAGTCGATGGTGTGACTTCCACGTAAGATCTTATAGATTAGGCAGTCATATCATGACAAATCTACAAATTTAGGATTAGGTCTATTATTAGAGCAGTACTAATATCATAGTAGACCATAAGTTCTACACTACTTCGTTATTAGTATGATCACAATTACAAACCTAATCCTAAAATTGTAAATATGTCATGATGTGACTGCCTAATCTGTAAGATCTTACATAGAATTCACGAAATTGCCTACAGTGACTCATCGTATCTTAAAAATTACCAATATTTTACTTTGTGTTTCCAAATAACACATTTAAGCCGAAAATACGATGACATTTTTAATATGAATAAAGACAAGTTATACAGACTGACCACGTCTGTGAATTTGAACAGTGCTATCCGATTGAATGCATGAATATTCCCGTGTTCACCAGTGATGGCTTTCATTCCGTGTTAAATGTTGAATATCTATTTTATCAGTGACCTCATTTTCAGATCTGAAAATTAAAACCAATGTCACAACACATGTTTTAATTTTGATCGATTTTCTGAAGTGAATGAAATATTCAGTCACTAGATTTCATAAGAGATTTATAGAACAGCTTATCAAACGTGATCTGGTGAGGATTGCTGACCGATTACATTTAGATGAGAGTGATTCTCGTAAAATCACGAATTCACAGTTACTGGCAAGAACTTAGCAAACTGATCATCATGAGGATTTACTTGCTACTGCAGGTGCGTTACAGTGGACTGTTTGCAGAAAAAAGGTGTAAATAGATAAATTTGATTAAGATGAAATCATGAGCTTATTCGCAGTACCATTCAAATGGATGAAAAAGAGAGTCGTTAAAAAATTATGTAAATTGTGCTTCTGTCGACTGGAAAAAAATAGTTATCCATGTGCAACCAATTTGTTTATACCCATCAGTAGAAACAGTTTGTATAAACGGTAGGTTTGCAAGTTGTTATATGATATCGCTAGTTTATGGATATTGGACATTCAGTGTCTTTGGTTATTTTATTGTCATTTAGTAAGCAATTTTTTTTATTTTTGAACTT